GTGATGTTGTGAATACGGCGTTGTTTAAAAATAATCGAGGGCGTTTACCAATATTTTTATTTGTTCAAACAAGTGTTACATAACGTAGTGATCTGTTATCTTTATGATATTAAGTGTTTAACATGTTAGGACATGAACGATCCTGAGTATTTAATCTGTGATAGACCGTTACATGTTGAGGCCTCAACTTCTGTGAAACAACAAGGAATAGTAATAATAATAAGCAATCAATCCTTGGCAAACATAATTTTCACTAAAACGATGACTGCAACCATGCTGAAAGAACAATTTCTCTCTAACTACAACATCTAACTCAATGCTGAGTGAGAAATTAGTGCACCAGGGGCTTGAAGTCAGACAAGCTCTTGAGGATGCTGATATTCTCATAGTCAACACTGCCATTCAAATGGCTAAGAACTTTGCGAAAGCCATAATAATTAAATAGGACAAAGATCTATTGGTCCTATTAACCGCCAAAGCACCAAATTCCTCAAACTTTTACCTCAGGAAATCTGGAAAGAGGACCTCTTAAAACATGTTCTGCTCTCCCAGGCATTTCAACTTCTCTTCTCCTGTCAAAGAGAACCTTCCGTTCCTATATGCAATCAGTGGATGAAATACCATCTGCATTCTATCGCCAAGGGATGTTGAAGATTATAAAACTCCTTGAAAAGAACATGTTGTAGGGGGCTGTAAAGGGTTTCCACCATACAGATGTTCATCCTGAGGGCCTAATTTTAGCAGGTCAACTGTTTGTTTATCTAAAAGCAATAATACTGTTAATACCTCACTGGACAAAATTCGTTACGAGATATTCTCAAAATCCATTTCAAAGTTAACTTTCAATATATAGATTCTCTACCACTAACAAATGCAGCCGCCGCCCAACACATTCTACGAGTTTGCCACCAAATACAGAGCTGGTATGATAGACCAGTGGATCTGCTCAACTGGGGTTAGAGGATGACGGAACATGGCTTACTCCCAAACATAAACACAAAGAATCCAGCTCAAATTTAAATCCTAGTGTCATTCAGGTACAAAAGAGTGTACAGGAAAGTGCAGCTGTCATAAAGTAGACATGGAATGCTCAACAATTTGCCTTAGCTGCCATTGGTCAGTCATGCTTAAATTTAGCAGTTTCAAGAAGAGAGTGTGTCCCACATACCGAACACCGTAGAAGCAGAACCAGGTGAGGACAGTCTCTTTGACAATCCACCGCAGCTTGAGATAAATCCTTACATTTACGGAGGATGTGCAGCCAAGAGGACAGTTCATGGAACCCGATTTTAAGGTTTATGCAAAATTAGTTCTTTCAAAATACATGAAATTTTCAATTGAAATACCTTTTTAACGTGTTATATTATACCATTGACTATATAATATAGTCAATGATTATACAACTTTCATTCTATAACTGCCATTCTATATATTTTTTCTTTTTCTAATGGGAGTCAGTAATATGATATTGTTTGCAATAAGATGCGTCGTATACACAACATCACCTCCAAAGTAACTGATGCCAGCCACTTAGCAATGATATTGTTGTACTATACAACTGCAAACAGCTGGGAATACTTGATCAGCTGTTTTCCCCACTCTTACTTCGTGTAAAGAAGGAAATAGTGACGGGGTGACGGGTGTGTTTCTCATTCAAAGATAGTATGGGGTTCTGGAAAGTCGCAAAATGTAAAATGCAATGAAACGAAAAAATATATATTTTGAACTTAAGATTTTGGCCATACTACTTAACCGAATTTGGATATGTATATACTCATTTTACACATAATTTAATCCTCTTTGATATTAAAAGGACGTTGTTTGCGTCCGACGCACTGTTTTTGAGCTACTCGGAAAAAACTGGAAAAAGGACTAAAATTTAATTTATTTTAGGCTGCCATAATGTAAGCTCACCTCATAGAACGGTGCAAACTCAGATTAAACTTATTTGGGACCAAACGAAGGTATTAAAATGATTTCCAGCTTGCTGGGAATTAATTCCTCAAAATGTATTATTTTGATCTAATTTTACTGGCCTTGCCAAAGTTGTTGAGCACCAATCCAATACCTCTGATTTAAAAGTTAATGACTGATGTTAAGTAAAATATGATAAAGAACTTTTCCCAGGTGAAATTTTAAGAAAAGTAGAACCAAATCAAGTAGAAGTAAGTTGTATGGTCAAAGCCGGGAACTACTGGAAGTGGCCAACGATTCCAGACATTTTAGTGTATTCAATTGAAGATATAAAATGTAAACTTTTTCCTCCTTAAGTGGTAAATGCCAGGGGCCAATACAAGTTTCTAAATATGTAGAGGACATTATTTTACTTCTGTGGCCTTTTAAGAGGTATTTGCACTTTTTTGCGAGGGAAACCAATGCCTAAGCCACTAGATTCCTTGATGGTAAAAATCTAACCCCCTAATCAAGATATCATAGCTGGAAGAATGTAACAGTCTCAGGACTGAAAAAATGGTTTGGAATCCTAATAAATATGGGCCTTACCCCCTGGAAGAACATATGTAAAAAGCTACTGGGACAGTAGACCAAACCAGGACATTCCTTTCTACTCCAAGACTATGTCCCTCAACCAATTCCTGATTATAGGACTCATGCACTCCCTCGTAATGACCCTAATCCTAATTATGATCCCTGGGTAAAAATTAGGTGGATACTGGGCCATGCAAATACTATGTTCAAGAAGTATTTTATTCCAAGCCAGGATTTATGCATTGACGAGAGCCTAATAGGTATAAAACACCGCTGCGCATTCATTCAGTATTAAAAAAAAATAAGAAAAAACAGAATGGCATAAAAGTGTGACAGTAAAAGTAATAACCGTATTTAATAAGCTACACATAGAAATCTACAGTGGCACTGATTACCTTGCTATAACTGACCCAAATGCACCACTTTTCCCTCAGCAAGTGGTTATGGAGGTAATGGAAAAAAGTAGACTCCTCGATAAAGTATTTAATCTTTTTACCAACAAAGACCGGGCTGACCAATCTTTTTCAGGTACCGGCTGGTTGGGTCAATTGACGACATCTTATACCCTGGAAAATCAAATCCCCTTGGGATCATAGCAAGGAGATACTTGGGCAAGCTGTTCAGGCAAGAGATAGTGAAGTGGGCTATCAAGTCATTCAGCCTTGAAAGGGGGGTCTCCGGGCGGATACTGTACACCACATCCGTCCTCATACACCACATAAAAGCCTTGATTAGGGGCAGTTTTGCTATAGGCTACATCCCTTCTTGCTAGAGAAAAGCAAGGGTGGCATTTCTCTTGAAAAAGGGAGGGATCCAGCCCAGCCAAAGTCTTACAGGCAAATATGCCATCTTTCATTTTAAAGACTACAAAAAAAGTAGTAAACTGGCACATTAGGGATACCTAGAGGAAAATCCCCTCAGCACAAACCAACATATGTTTCTGAAGGGCAAGTCAACAATAACAGTCCTAAGCAACCTGGTCACAAAGATAGAAGAGACCCTGGAACTCAGAAAGCTCACCCCCCCCCCCCCCCTCAGAAATAAGTAGGAAAAGAGTTAAGTCAGTGAATGAGTTAAAATACAGGGAGCGGCAGAAATATCTGACGGTTTTCAAGCGAGTACAGTCCGGCAGCCGAGTGGAGGGGATTGGTGGGGAGCGGCTCATTCTCAAGGCCAAGTGATGCCATTTCAGTCACCATGGAGCAGTGGACCAGTATACATCGCGCGTTTGCCGTTGAGGCGTTTTTTAAAAATGACGATTCTGTTGTTGGTATGCAACATAAGTTTCGGAGGCATTTTAATGTGGCTTGTGGGGAACCTATCCCATCCCAAAACACCATCAAATTGTGGGTGGATACCTTTAGATCACAGGATCAACTGCAAAACGTAGGCCTACAGGCCGTCCAAGGCCAGTGAGGACGCCTGAGAACGTGGAGCGTACCTTGGAATCTTCCTAGACCAGAAACCTACCTGGAACAGGCACTTAGACTATAATCTTGCAAAACGCACAGTAGCCTTCGGACTAAAGAACCTTTGGTAAGAAATGGGGGCTTATCCCAACCTTATTTATTGGACTTATATGAGACCATAATCAAGCCAATGATGTGACACAGCCCTGGTGGCCAAAAGCAGTGCAAACAGTGGCAGGCAGCTAGCATGCACGGGGGTCCGTGGGACCATGAAATATTGCCCGGGTAGTAGAGTCGAGTTAATGCTTCAGAGAGGGACTGGACACCTCTCCATACTAAGGGATTTGCCAAGTATAGACATGGAACTGACAATGCCAGACCTGATGACCAAGGAGTATGACTTCAAGGTACAACTGGCAACAAGGCAGGCTCAAGATGGGCAGGGCATGCCTTGTATTTTACACAGATTGAAGTTGAAAGGATAAACCCCCAGCTCGCGGTTGGGGTTTAATGGCAACAAAACCAATAGCTCCTTAGCCCTGGGAAACACAGTGACAGTCTTTCAATCGGAGGTCCTGACTAATCCTGGACAAGAACGTGAGGAAAGGGAAAATACTGATCCTCTCAGACCCAATAAAGGCCCTGGGGTCTTGTATGAAAGTGTCACGAGCAGTGAAGGGGTGCAAAAACACCCTCACAACACTGGCAAAGCGGAAACAAGTAAAAGTTTATGGGTCCCAGGACACTCAGGCGTGAGCAGAATGAGAAAGTTGATGCACTGGCCTGGAGGGGTGCAAAAGAACAGCAATAAACTTGAAACAAACAACCAACTATGCACTCCACCACATCTCAAATTAGGAGCCAATTTACAAAAGAATAGAAACATAGCTTTCAGTGTATAGCGATGTTTAATCTGTATGAATTAATTTCACCACTATATGAACGAATATTTGATAATGATTTATTTACAAACGAATAAAGAAGTATACTGAATCATAACATAGTCAAAACTAACTATTTTTCAACAACTAGCAACAGCTGTTCATAATAAATATTAAACAAAGTATAGACCAAAGGCACAGCTGTGGCTAAGTCAACGCCACATCAGCCCCCCGCAGAGACTGGAAGTCCAGGAAGCTTGAGCTTTACAGAGGCCAGTCGTCGTGGTCGGCAGAATACAGGAGGTCCTGGAGTTGTGTGTATATGATGTACTATCTGGTGCTTCACTTCTCGAGGCAATCCTGGAGGGCGAGTAATTTCAGGGAATTCGTGCAAGATTTTAGAGAGGGAAGAAGTAGTGACTACGGATTTTACGCTACATTGAGTCGTAACGGAAAGTTGTCCTCCTGTGATAAGTCCAGTTTTGGCATCATGAAGTCGCAACAATCGACAGTCAGGAAGCAAATGGTAGTAACTGAGGAAGTCTGAGCCAATGATTGGAACACTGACATCTGCAACTGTGAACTGCCATGCAAAACTACGGTGAAGGCCTAGGTCCAATGTCATAGAACAGGTTCCGTAGGTCTTGATAGTACTACCGTTGGCGGCACTTAGTTTAAAGTCTGTAGATGTGTGACAGTCTCGTAGAAGACGTTTGGGATAACATGATACGTCAGAGCCGGTGTCGATCAAGAACCGGAGATTCGGCTTTTGATCTGAGACAAAGATTCTGCGGCTGGGTGCTTGACAGTCAGTCGCCGCTGTTACTGGCCGTCCTCGGAGTTTCCCGCGTAAGAACAACGAGATGTACATTTTGACGCGTGCTCACCAAATTTGGCATGATACCAGCAGATATGGCTTGTAGATTTGTGCTGATATTGATTTACGTATTTTGATGTTTTCTTGTTATGATTGGTCGAACGATCGTGCCGGAGGGATACTTCGAGTGCGCCACTCTTGAACAGCAGCAGTGAGGTCGTCATCTGACTTCGTGTGTTCACGAGTTGCCGTAGCATTTACTGTTACTTGTGGTGTTCTTGTAGAAACTTCAATGACTTTATCCGCTATATCTGCAAGTTTATCAAGTGGAAGTTCATTTTGAGCTGTGATAATCGCTTGAATGTTAATAGGGAGACGTAGCCAGAGTGCTCGAAGGATGTTGTCCTGTAGTTGGGCTGGACCGATCAGAGTACGTAGGTGGCGTAAGAACTGCGATGGCTTGCGATCTCCGATATCTTTGTCGCTGATCAACTGGCGAACACATTCTTCTTCACTAGTAGACAGCCTTTCAATAAGCTTCGGACAAAGTACAGCGTAACGATTCGTTGCAGGCGGATTTGTGATGATGTCCTCTACTTGCACTGCGTAACGTGTTTCAAGCTGAGAAACGACGTAGTGGAACCGAGTGTCATCGCTTGTGATGCCTGAGATGGTGAACTGGGAATCTACCTGAGCAAACCACAGTCTAGGTCGATCGGCCCAGAATGGTGGAAGCTTTACTACAACTCGACTAACTGATACATTACCAGGGTCGTTGCGTTGCTGAACGTTGTTTTCAACAACTAGCAACAGCTGTTCATAATAAATATTAAACAAAGTATAGACCAAAGGCACAGCTGTGGCTAAGTCAACGCCACAGGTGTGAACTAATAGTAGTTTTCGTAAAAGATGTTTCAGAGCATAACATGAAATCTGATGAGCTGAGCAGATTTAATTTAAACGGTTTTATGATAAATTCAGATTACACTCGGGAAAAATTTAAAAGTGGAGGTGTTTTGATATTATCTAAGCTTGGTTTAAAGTGGAAGCAGGTGAACTATGCTAATATTGAAGTGTTAAGGGAAGAAAAAGTGTTTGAGTTCTGTTGTTCAAAATATTTTTTTGTAGGGGATGAAATTCTTTTGGTTGGTATATATAGATCACCTGCAAGTAGTGTTAATGAATTTTTAAGTCGATTAGGTATTCTATGTGACTATGTGTTATCAAAAAACAAAAAGGTGGTAATAGTAGGAGATTTTAATATAAATGTTTTAGTAAACAGCAAACAAAGCAAGGATTTTGATAATTTGTTAAAATCTCACGGTTTGAAATTTTTAGTAAATTTTCCAACAAGGGTCACAGCTAACTCAGTAACGGCTATTGATAACATTCTAACAAACATTCCAACCCATGAATTAAAGACCACAGGAGTCATAACTGAGCTTTCAGATCACGATGGACAAATCTTAGAAATAAATATTTTAGATAAATGTATAAAAAACAATTACATTTTTAAAAAATCCCGACAATTCTCAGAAGAAAATAAGCTCCAATTTTATCAAATGCTGGAAAAGGAAAACTGGAATGATGTTTATTTAGCACCGGTAACAGAAAAGTACAATATTTTTCACAAAACGTTAATTTACTATTTCAATTTATGTTTTGAAAATAAACTTGTCAAAATTTACAACACAAAGAAATCCTGGATAAATCCAGAAATTAAACAAGAAAAACAGGAAATTATAAAAATGAGTAGAATAGCTAGAAAAGTACAAAATAAATGTACTTTCTCTAAACTAAATAAAAGAAAAAAAATATTAAATAAAAAAATTACTGAGAGTAAAAAGAAGTTTTTTGATTTCCAAATTCATAATTCAAGTAACATTAACAAAACCACATGGAGAATAATTAATAATGAAGTTTCAAACAAAAAAACACTTACTCAGAGAATATTAGTCTTCGACTGAATGATGAACTAATTGAAAATCCTACTTATGTTGCAAACATGTTTAATAATTACTTTATAGATGTTGTAGATAGCTTTAGTGTTAGGCAACCTTTAGATAATAAAAATAGAGGAACAACTAATCAAGTTAGCGATGTAAATAAAACAAAAGGGCTTTTTGAAAGTAGGATATTTAAGTGCACTCCTGTAGATGATAAGGAAATGGAAAGAATTGTTGGTTCACTTAAGAATAAAATGTCTAGTGGTTATGATGATATACCAACTAAATTATTAAAATATGTAGGGAACCTTTTAGTAAAGCCACTTGTACATTTGGTGAATTCCTCTTTTGTGTCTGGCTTATTTCCGCATCAACTAAAAATTGCAAAGGTAATTCCTTTACATAAAAAAAACGAAGTTACTGAAATATCTAACTATAGACCTGTTTCATTGCTCCCTGCTGTATCAAAGGTATACGAGAAAGCAATGTACATTAGATTGGTAGATTATCTTGAATCAAATAAGTTATTTGATAATTCTCAACATGGTTTCAGAAATGGAAGATCAGTAATAACAGCAGCTACTGACTTCATTGAGTCCATCGTAGAATCAATTGAAAACGGTGAAAATGTTCTAGGGATATACATGGATCTCTCTAAAGCATTTGATAGTGTTTGTCATTCAATTTTGCTAGAGAAACTGGAAAGTCTTGGAATAATGGGAGTCCCCTTAAAATGGTTTCAATCTTATTTGGATGGTCGGATGCAATTTGTTGAAATAAAATCAAACAAAAACAATTATTTAACTACATTTAACTCTCATAAACGTAGAATTAAGTGGGGGGTGCCACAGGGTTCAATTTTGGGACCAATTTTGTTTTTATGTTATATAAAAGAATTGCCTAAAAGTATTGTTAATCCTCAAAAGAGTAAGATTTGTTTATATGCAGATGATTCAAATTTAACAGTGGCGGGGAAAAGTAAAGAGGAGTTGGAAATTTCGGCCTTTGTAGAATTGTATAATATACAACAATTTCTAAAAAATAATAATTTGAATCTTAATACAACAAAAACAAACTTTATGTCCTTTTCGACTAAACAAAGTAAACAGAAACTTGAACCCAATTTGATCATTGATTCAGAATCAATAGAACAACTTTCTGAAGCCAAACTTTTAGGTCTCTATGTAGATGAACATCTAAGTTGGAATAAACACGTTGAAAAATTATTAAAAAAGCTTAATTTTGGAGTGTACGCATTGAAAAGAATGTCTTATTTGTGCAATTTAGATGCACGTCAAAAAATATATTTTGCCCATATTCATTCTCACATAAACTATGGCATTGGACTATATGGGGCAACTACGATTAAAAATTTAAATAAAATTCTAATCATGCAAGAAAAAGCCATTAGAACTATGTTACACCTTAAAAAAGATGAATCAGTTAAATCTCACTTTAAAAATCTAAATATTTTAACAGTTTTTGCAGCGTATACTTTTGAAATAGCATGTATAGCTAAAAGAGACAGCCTAAAATATGAGCCAGTTGTGCCACATAGTTACAATACAAGACATAAAAAGGATATTGTAACTTCAACCTATAAGCTGGAATTCTAAAAAAAAAACCAACTTTTGCTGGATCACTAATTCTAAGGAAATTGCCTGCCTCTATAAAGGAGGAATCAAATTATAAATTATTTAAATCTAAATTAAAAAAACATTTAATAGAAAAGGCGCCTTATACAATGGAGGAACTCATTGAATAAATACCTATTCATACTTAAAATGTATTTATATCTTTAAGCTAGTTTAGTACTTTATACTTGACACTATTTTTGTACCCATGTACATGTAAGGAAAATAAAGATGTTTTGATTTGATTTGATGTATGTCGCTAATACTCGATACATGCGACATTGCTCAAGCTACGCTAACCTGGTGGGAAACAGCCTTAAGTATGACAGTGTGGTGAAGAGACCAAACAAAACCTAGACCCTGAAGGGCTGGTTCCTGACGACACACTTAAGCCGTGTTTACACGAAGCCAGTTGGCGGGCAGGTTCCTTGCCCTAAGTAACTTGAAATATATTAGAGGCAAGTAACCTGCCTGCTCTATTGGCCTCGTGTAATCAGGGCTTTAAGGATCCAATTACCTTTGTGAGACACACATCAGCCACTGTGTGGGCACTCCAAGGGCCCCATGTACCTTTCGGTCAAGAAGAGGACTAAAATAACTCGCTGAAGAGAGAAGCTTCTGCATGTTTTTGAGGGCAAAGCCAAAGGCAGGATGGGAGCTTGACGTCAAGAAAGTTGGGAGCGAGAATAATCTCCCAACCCCTGTTAGTCGCCTCTTACGACAAGCCGGGAACGCTGCGGTCCTATTCTAACCCGGGAGCCGCACGGGATATTACACCTTACCTTAATTCAATCTGTGAAGTAGTTAATTTCACTGATGGGGAGATGTTTGCTTCTATTTATCTTTGGAGAGAAAACAAATCTTGAATAGCCTGTCAAAGTAGTACTTTGTATACATGGTATAAAGGCTGGTCCAGCTCTCACAGCATCAGAACTATCGGTCATAGGGAAAGTGTAAAAAGCTGCCTTGTAAGACATTTTATATTCTTTTTTTTTTAACATAAAGATATTTTGTTTGTTCAAAGAATTTAAAGGTATTTATTTTACCCACTTTCCCTTATAAACCTAACATTATCGAAAGAGACCATAAAAAAATTGATAAAAGGCTAATGAACAACTTTAAGTATTCAGACAACTATTTTTAAGCAAGGTATAATGATACTTTGCTGTACTTAGAAGGATTGTGTTTTAATTTAAATATTTTACCAAGCAACTGTCTATTTCAAAAAGCACAATATAATACAGTAGGCACTATTTTAATATTCGGGCACTACGAGGTAAAATATATGGCTGGGTAGCTAAGTGGTTATGATCCTTGGTTGATAATCACAAGATCGCCAGTATGAGAAAATTATCTTATTGATGGTCCATTATCATCAAATCGATACTTAAATTATCAATTAAAAAAATTATCATCAATACTTTTGAGGCAGCAAAACAACCTAAGTCAGCTTTTAACATAATTGTCTAATGGAAGCCTAAATGGAATATTTATGAAAAACAGTACAAACAGACTACAGAAGACAAAACCGCAATAAATTGTTTTAATTACTAAAATGGGTACAAAGAAACTGAAAGTAAAAAATAATTTAATAAACTAATTTATTTTTATATGTACAAAACAGTTTCTCATAAATAGGATTTTTATAAAAAATTATCGGTTTATAAGCTCATAAAAGTAACAGAAATTACTTTATTTAACTTAATATTTAAATTACAGTTAATAGTTCACTTACCCAAATCAAAAAATGATTAACAAACAAATATTTAAACATGGTAATGACAACCATTTAATTGTATAATGATACATGATTACAACTTGACCAGCATCCCTTGTACCTAAGTTTCCATACCCAAATGACTCAACCAATTCTTGAACATAATTTGTAGCAAGAGCGCCAATAAATAAACATGTTTGAATTAATTACTTAAAAAAAACCTTTTATAACATATGCCAGTTAACATTATAAATACCACATTAAAAAGATAAGAATCCCATTTTGGCACAGTAAAATAAATGTTGTGCATATCCAAGTAAACCATCTGTACTTTTCTCCAGTTTATGTTTACTTAAACTGTCAAATCTTTCTGGCATTGGGTTTTTTGTTAGGAAAGGGTTCAATTTATAGGCTTAAGCTACAAATGATTTTCAGTGTGTAACGTTCAATAGTTGTATAATATTGACACCACTTAAAAAATTGGACTTCAATTAAAAGTGATAAAATCACAATTCATACATAAGTTATTATAATTGTAATTGTACAAAAACTAAATTTGTAACAGAGGAAAAATACCTTCAGATACTCCTTTTGCATCATTTGCACATATTGCTAAATAATCAAATAATACATCAAATGTTTAGGATAATGCGATCTAACAATTTATATCGCATACCAAAGGATTAAAATTAATTATTTCATTAATAAAACAATATGGATTTAATAACCTTAAAATGCAAGATTTACAAAAAAAATAATAATATAAAAACTGATGTGTTATTAAAATATGTCAAGTTTCAAAATCTCTCATAAAATAAAAATACACAAACATATTATTATCAACAGCATAATTAGTTAAATATTATATAATGACATTAAAATCCTGTGTTTTGAAGTCGACAATAGACAGAAGACTTTTAATAGCATCTACACCCAGAGACTACATAGTTCTACGACTAAAACAACCCTTACCAATGTTATCATTGTTTTTGCATTAATAGTAAAAAAAATGTTTAAAATATCTTAGTAGGACGCAAGAAAATCACTTTCATTGAGTAAATCCATAATAAGGCTTAAACTCTTGTGTACACTTCATAGAAGTGTTCTTACCATCTCTGGGCTAAAACACCCTCAATAATCATAGTAATTAACTCAGAGTAAAAATATTATTTACAGATTTCATTACTATATCAAATATATAAAATATTATCCCCAACCTTTTCCTTCGATTCTAACTATTAATACATTATTGCGTATAAATACAAATATGGTTTATAATACATATAATAATTTGAAATCTGAATATATATATATATTACTTATCACTTCTATAAAAATATGTGCATGTATACGAATATTAAAAATACAAATTCAGACTACACATTAAGGCAGGAAGAGACTTGCCAGCAAGTATGTGAACAACAAACCATTTGATGTAATACTGCACAGCTGGAGACCTGTCTATAAATGTAAGGCTAAAAAATAGCTTTACAAGCAAAGTATCCTACTACTTTATAAAACAAATGGAAACACTCCCCAGTTTCCCTTCTTACTTATACAATTTCTATATGTTTTGAATGGTTAACATGAAGAATAAAGAACAAATTCCAAACTTAATTCAAAATCAACAAAATTAAACGGCAACAAAAACTTTTCTCTGCAGTTGAGATGCACAGCACCATGACCAGAGGCAGATAACTGCACACAATCGTAACAAGTCGTAGTCAGTTCAGTTTATAAATTGAATACAAAGTGGCTGAAAGTAAGACAGTTAAACCGATCTTAAGAAACAGTTCAAAACTGTACAATACGTGTTTAAGTTGTCAGGCTATTGTTTTGTTAATTAAAAAAAAATTCAATTGCATTATATTTCGAAATTTTTAGAATAATTGTCAGTAATCCTGTAAAACTAGTGTTAAAATTAGTTTTCTATAAAAAATCTTTATGACCTATGTTATGGTCTCAGTTTTATGGCTTGGCAAGTCGCAGCACATGCAGGATCACTTCATCCACAGTCTGGTTGTTGAGTAGAGTTTTGACAGCATTGTCGTCAATGACCACAGTGAAGAGCAGTTTGGCGTTCTCCCGCAGTCGGTCTGCGTAGGGCATGTCAGGGAACCCAGCAGGCTGATGACCACAACGACGGATCACTGCTTCCAGTAACTTGTCAACCGACGCATCTGGCCAACCTGAACAAAATACTTTATCATGCAGTTCTATATATAAACCAGCAAAAGTCCTTTTAATGATTTAGGGGACAAAATTATAAAAAAAAAAAAATTATATCACAAAGCTATTGAGGAGAAAGGAAGGAAACACATATTACCTATTAAGGACATATATATATTAGTTATATACAGGGTGAGTTTTAATTGATACCCCCCAAATTTTTCTACATTTTGTCAAATATCAATCCCAGACCACTTTCAAACATTGTTGGGTAGTAAGAAGTTCGTTTGGACAAGGTGGTCATTTCCGGCCGCCATCTTGGATTCGCCATATTGGATGCAAAATGTTTTTTTCAAATGTTAAGGAGGGGTTGTGACCTGTTATTTCGATCTAGATTTTACCCTGATTACAATGCCACAAATTGTTTTTTTAAATCTTGATCCATTCCAAAGTTATGAGAGCTTGTATATAACTTTATTTTTAGGCCATTTTAACACTGTGTATTTACAAACTAAGACCATAATCTCAAAATAGTGCTAGATAAAGATAAGTATACACTACCAATCATTGTCGACCTATTTCCACTTGGTTATGACGGATGTATTTTTTTCGGCCGCCATCTTGGATCCGCCATTTTGAAATGTGATCAATTATTTTAAATTTGAAGAGGGTGTTGTGACCCATCATTTTGAGTTACTTTTTTAAGCTAAACTCAATGCCGCAATCCATTTATTGTTATCAAGTTTTCTTTATGAAATATAGCAATTTTTTTTTAAATCTCAATATTTCAAAATCTAAATATTAAAATGAAAAACAGATCGTGGAATTGAGTTCAGCTTAAAAAAGTAATTTGAAATGATGGGTCACAACATCCCCTTCATATTTAAAATAATTAATCACATTTCAAAATGGCGGATCCAAGATGACGACAAGAAAAATTAAATCAGTCATAACCCAGTGAAAATAGGTCGACAATGACTGGTGGTGAATCCAAGATGGCGGTTGGAAATGACTACCTAGTCAAAATGAAGTACTTACTACCCAACAATGTTTAGAAGTGGTTTGGGATTGATATTTGAAAAAATGTAGAAAAAAGTTGGGGGGGGGGGACAGTTAAAACTCACCCTATATATTAAGGATGTGTTCTATTAACCTCCTGGGACTCAGGTGAGTTAGTTGTGTATACTTCCTTTCCCCTCAATAACTATTCCAAAGCCAAGTTGTTTTTTTCCCTTTAAAATACTATTTTAGAAAAGTATGACTTTTGATGATTTTGGGAGGGTTCCAAGCTATTTTGAAGTTGATCTAACATTACGGATACACCTCTTCTCAAATCAAAAAGTGCTACAATGAGTTGAACTATATCAGCTTTAATATGAGGAAAAGTCCTGTTTTATCCCACATGTATTTTTCTGTGTACTGTACTAAAATGTGAGAACATTTTGACATTCATTGAAAATATCTTCTCGACGGGACTACATGACACCAGTGAAAGGTATGGCCATACAGTACAAAATTCGATCAGATCTTCCTCCAAGACTTCTAGAACGTCATTGGGGTAATATAACTATATTCAGTATTAAGATTAAACAAAAATCCGCCATATTTGTAACCAAAATCAAATTCAACATTCCTTTCATACAGTCTACTTTATTTTTAAAACAGCCTTCTTAGGCAACCGCAACAAATTATACTATACATGACCAAACAAAGTATTCTCTATTCACACAGCGAAAACTACATAAAATCTAACTGAGCTGAGAGGAAAGGTTGGTGTTAGGTGAGGAAGGGGAAGGAATCAAAATTTAAGAGCTTTCCAGCATGCTTGGCTACAGGTTATTCTTTGTGGGTTGTATATTTTATCTTGACTCTTGAAATCTAGCCTGTGTTCATTTATTCTCTCTCTAAGGTCTATGTATTGTGATGCCTATTATATTGTGCTTGACAGAGGTTGAATTGGAGTTTGTAGATGAGGTTTTTCACTATTGCTGGTTATGTGTTCTTTGATCTTGTATTCTTGTGTTGTGGAATAGCACATTCAATGCCAGCACGGTGAAGGTTTTAACTGGAAGGTGGATGCCACAGGTTTTTACTTGTTTTCATTGTTAGGGTAAGACCCAGGAGGTTTTTTTTGTGAGTGATTCGATGTAAGGATCTGGTAATTTAGGGTGAACCATATGTTTTAGGTTTGGTGCTTGCATTTACACAATATAAGAGCTTTGGTGGTATTGTTGCATGTTAATTTTGTGTAGGCAGTTTTTGAGGGCTCGTTTAGTTTGTTCAAACTGGGGTGGTAAGGGTAATCAGGTTGATTTTTTGGTTGAGTGTGAGACTGTTGTTGTGTTTTTGGTTTGGTATAGTTCAAGAGCTTTCTGAGCTGTTTGGGCCACCTTTATTTGAGATATGACTATGATAGAAGAAGGAGAACCTCTCCCCACAAAGGCTTTTTGGAGCTGATTGTTGTACTTTTTAGGCATCGTAAAAAAACAGATTCTTTTTCCTCTGAGGGCCATACCGTAATGAAGTGGGCGTTTAGTACCTATTGTTGGCAGCTACTATTGTGGAGGTATGTTTGTGGTTTGTAGGTTTAGGGTGAAAAGAGAATAGCAACTTGTCATCAATGTATCTGTACCAACAGACATTAGGGTCTGTTTTTAAGAAATCGACTTTGGATTTTGGTGTCTCATCCAGGAAGTTTTTGGTGGCACTAAGTCCATTTGCATGAGGGATGTTGGTGTAGAGTGATGTAACATTGATGGTGGCAAGAACAGTTTTGTAGAGGAGGGATTGTTAAAGGACGGCAAGTTTTGAAAGAAAGTCAGTGGTTTCTTTGATGTATGAAGGTGCGTAGGTTTTGAATCAAAGCCTGGAGATGTGTGTATATGTAGGCAGAAGCTCTTTTAGTAGGGGAACCAAAGCTTGATTTTATGAGTTTTTTCCCTAAAGTAAATACAGAAAACCATTTTGTGATTATTTGTGTGTCTGGTTTATACTCTAATGAGCAAGCTAGCTTAACTATTTGTTCAGGTAGTTTGTCTCACCGAAGGCCTTGAGTGTGGTCTCGTCTACCAGCAGAGTGAGCAGCTGCCTCACGTTCTCTGCCAGGCTGTCCTCTGTAAGGACATGAGGCTCTTCTGTAGGCAGTTCCTGAGCTGCTTGATTAGCTGCTGCAAGCAGCTGCTGTTGTAACTTCTTCTTCTCTGCTTCCTGCATGATCTCCTCCAACATGTCACGATGTTTGGTACGCATATGACGCAGAAGACAGTCCTGACGAATGAATGCTCTACCACACTCGTCACATGATCTTGGCGGTTCCTACAGTTAGCCACAGATTTGTGAAATATATAATATCAAAACCTCCATTGGGTAGTCACAGTAAGGTAAGGGAAATTATGAATTATCATATTTTATTTTTAGTACCTAGAGATCAAGATTTGTTAGGGGTGAAATATTAAATATTACTAAAAGATTGTTTAAAATTAAGATTTTAAAACAATTTTGCAACCAGGTTGCTCATAGTTTATTTTTATGTTCCATAATTATGGTTCTCGACAAAAATATTCTGTTTTCTTCATTTGAGTAATTATTTAACAATGAAAACACCATGTATACGCAGTAGCAAAAGCCAATTTTCTTATGTATCCTCTTTTTAGCTCTTAGTAAATATTGTTTCATGACATATTGAAACTGGTGATCATAAATAATGGTTTGTTTTGATATGAAACTTTATTAGTCAAACAAAGACAAGAGCCACATTCCACATTCTTTGGACCTGATGATGTGCTCCATTCAAAGCCAGCTTTAGTCCTAACAAACTACAAATGATCCTTTCAACAGTAACACGGTAATATAAACCACTATAGAGCAAACAGGACATTTTCATTCTTTTGGTTAAAGTTTGGCGCTGAACAAACTTTTTACTTGTGTTATGCCATTGTATTCAAGTTTTCTACTTAGTTAGGCCAATAATTTAAAGAAAACTATTTCACTAAGCACACTTTCCTTAGGAGTAGCATAATCTACAGAAAACTTTCTATGGTTGGTGGCAAATTCAAAATAACTCAATTTATTTTAAAAACTGCTAGTTAAATTAGGCTAGCTTAGGGAAGGAAGCACTTGTAATATTACTTACCTTGGTATGTGTCAAAAGATGGATTTTCAGAGAAGACTTCATGGCAAATGCCTTACCACATATAGGACATTTGTGTTCTGAAACAATAATTTTTATTAGGACAGTTTTTGTTTATTTGCCACAATTTCCAGGGTTTTCAGATGAAAGAAAGACTTTGTGGTGAAAATATAACAGTTGTAACTAATGCTAGTTTTTTTATTCTTTTTTGGGGGTTTTGTTGAAGGAAACATTTTAAAATTCATGAACAAATTCAAATTTTTTACAGAAAGTTCTAAAATTGAAAGTGAGAGTCCATCAAAATGTTAAGAACATAAAAATCAATAGATCAATAGAATATGTAATGAGGCAGTTGTTATAAATCAAACTAAGCCAATAGTTTATGGACAATTCTCAGGTTTTTTCAGTTGATCTTTCATAAACAGCATTAAATTAGCTGATATTATTCAGCTACTATTATGCTATTGATAACCCTGAGAAACAACAAAGGATAAGCAAACCTGTGCACTTGAACGATACATCGATGGATTGAAAGCGAGAGACAAAAAAGAAGCAACACAAGCATTTCAAGTGTTGAAATGTATGCGTTGCTTCTTTTTTGTCTCTCCCTTTCAATTCATAGGCCTACTGTAAATAGTTTATTCAATGCTTTGTGACTGTGTTTAAAACCGTGAAGTGATATTATGTGTCGAAACATTCAAGTTTTGTATAAAAGGATCTGAATATGGTATAGTAATACTAAAACGCAAAATCCTGTTGGATGATAAAGGACCACTATAGGCAGTCTGCAGGTATTTTAACCTTTTTTTTTTGATTTGCATAGAGTGGCTTCGAAAAACAACTACAACATGATGTAAACATTATCGTCGTCTCTTAATATATTGAAACTGGAATAGTCATGTGGACATGATAAAGCTAAAGTCAAACGTTAGTAACCTATATTTTATAATGATGATCCCAGTTCCCACCTTTAACACCAGAATGCAGGAGCTGGTGCCGTGCAAGGTCCTCCTTGCGTAGGAAAGTGCGACTGCAGGTGTCACATCTGAATGGCTCTGCGCCTTCATGAACGTACTTGACATGCAGCTGCAGGCGCTGCTTGCGGTTGAAGGACTTGCCGCATTGATCACAGGTGAAGCCCCCTTCTCCTGCAACACCAGGTATGTCTACCCATCGGTTATATACACAACATCCTGTGTACTATCACTGTGAGCATGTAAGCATTCATCTTTGGGTTATGTGAACCAACCATAGCCAGTATTTTATTCAAACATAAAATAGTTTTATGGGATACTCTCAGATTGCTGATATCAATATAAGTGACTTAATGAGACAATATGTTGTTAATAAAAATAATGTCGTCTGTTGGTATTACAAGGTGATGTTTTTGTCTATGATCAGCCATCATAAAAGTAAAAGCGTAAAAGGGAAAAAATGAAATGTTAATATATATATATAAACACTATTATTTTGTATCTACTACAGGCATGTAAATTAACAAATTAAAATTAAATAAGTTGTGGTAGGCCTATAACACAAGTTCTTTATCTTTTATCAACACAAAAAAAGACATTCATATAGTTTTAAAATATAGGCGAGATGTAGCAATCGGAACAACAAGAAAATTATGGAAATGCATGAAAAAATTTCCAAACATAAAGTTTTAAATTTGTTCTTGATTAGTTTATATGTATTAAATGATTTAAATTCATTTTTCTTATTGCGAGAACTAGCACGATACTGTCAGACGGAGCTGGAATGGCGCTAGAGACAACAGCTGGGTGGTCATATGACCTGCTAGTGACTCTTCAAGCATTTGTAATATTAAACTGTTTAAACCCTCTAGTGGCTAGAGATACCAGCTCATGCAAGTGTCTCTAGCAGCTAGAGAATCATTCACACGATGCTGATGCTGGTTTTATGCTGGTTCTAGCTGATAGTTACTAGCGGTGAAAAAAACCAGCTCCGTGTGACAGGGGCTTAACTGACATTTTTTTTATCTACACAAGTTCAGCGCAAATCAGTATTGTATTGAGTAGCAGTAACATATATTTAATACAATCAATTCACTTGCAAATTCTTAGACTGAAGTAATATTCCATCTTAAATAGTCATCTATCTAATTACTACGGGTCCCCAGTCTTTTGGTAATATCAAACCCAATGATTTGTAACGTCATTAAGTAAGTAAGGAACTATAGTTTCAGGAATCAAACACTTTTAGATTTTACTTACTCCTTATCTCCTTTTTAATTGGAATAGCTTGAAAGAAAATGCCTATTAGTGTGGTTACACATTTAAGACAATTATACTGAATTTAGTTTCAGACGAAAGGCTAAAGAAGTAAACATGAAAATATTATATATCTTAGTCAATACAAATCTTCCTGTGTTTCCATTTAACAACTTAATTTTAGCCTACATCAATATTAGTCATGAAACACTGCATTTTACAACAAAATTATGATATTACATGATAAGCTGAAGCGATTGTCAAGTAAGATTCATCTTCTGCCATTCAGCAATAAAATAACCCTTAGTCAAAAAACATGTTAAACTCTTAGAACTAAATATAGTAACAATTGTAACACTCTGGTACAATGAAAAATTTATATCGTAGATTGATATATCATTAAAACTCGAGTTTTTCACAATATAGATAGTTTAACACACCTTACGTTGTCAATCCTAATTTTGGTACTGGGTAACTAAATTCAAAAGAAGTTTCATTTACAAGCACCTTGCTGCATAACTGTTGTTTCGAAAGTACACACATGAGACTAAAATTATGACTGACTTAATGTATGTTTTATTATTAATTAAATAAAATAAATCCTGTTATTTTTTTAAACTTGATATTAGATTTATTAAACTTTTCAGTTAGGCTATGCAATATGTTTCTGTGATCTTTGTCTTTTGTCTCTTTGACTCTTTCTCTCTATCTTGTGTTGACTCTTTGAGACAATATCAAATGTTAGTGTTCAGTGGTATTACTGCTTCTACTACCACGCCTTGTATCATTGATATGGGAGTAGTACCTGAGTGGTGGAAGATGTGAGCTCGCAGCTGGGAAGCCTGTATGAAGCCTTTGCCACAATATTGACAAGTGTGGGGCTTCACTCCAGTGTGAGTGCGTAGGTGACGGTTCAGAGTCTCTTTGGCAGCAAACCTCGCATAACACTATGTACAACCCACATGTTATTGGTTCAAATAAGCTGTAGCTACAGCTAATGTATTTAACTTAAATATAGACAAGTGTGGGGCTTCACTCCAGTGTGAGTGCGTAGGTGACGGTTCAGAGTCTCTTTGGCAGCAAACCTCGCATAACACTATGTACAACCCACATGTTATTGGTTCAAATAAGCTGTAGCTACAGCTAATGTAATTAACTTAAATATTGACAAGTGTGGGGCTTCACTCCAGTGTGAGTGCGTAGGTGACGGTTCAGAGTCTCTTTGGCAGCAAACCTCGCATAACACTATGTACAACCCACATGTTATTGGTTCAAATAAGCTGTAGCTACAGCTAATGTAATTAACTTAAATATTGACAAGTGTGGGGCTTCACTCCAGTGTGAGTGCGAAGGTGACGGTTCAGAGTCTCTTTGGCAGCAAACCTCGCACAACACTATGTAAAACCCACATGTTATTGGTTCAAATAAGCTGTAGCTACAGCTAATGTAATTAACTTAAATATTGACAAGTGTGGGGCTTCACTCCAGTGTGAGTGCGTAGGTGACGGTTCAGAGTCTCTTTGGCAGCAAACCTCGCATAACACTATGTAAAACCCACATGTTATTGGTTCAAATAAGCTGTAGCTACAGCTAATGTATTTAACTTAAATAATTGCTATTTAAACACTCAAACTGCTTTAAACATTTTCTGGAGGCAATCCTTTTAGTTTCTCTTATTACTCAAAAGCAGAAACCTGGGTCACAGTGTACTCAGTATAATGTAGCCTACAGTGTGATTTTGTGTTCTTAGGTAGGGGCAAAGCATGCTTTTGTCCAGGTTTTCATGGCTAATCAACTTAGTCATCAGATTTTATCTGACAACACAGTTTTTAACCCAAAAGATCAATGGATAGAATGATTCTGTTTATTTTTATGGTAATGTTTGGCATTTCCCTTAATATACTTACATAACTACATTCATAAGGCCTTTCTCCTGTATGTTTTCTTCTGTGCTTCTTCAGAGCTCCTTGAGATGGGAACTGTTTGGGACAGAAATCACACGGCCATGGTTTATCCCCTGAAAAATTAATCACATTTCGTAACTGTGGTCCACTTCCAAACAAGTTTACTGAATAAGAGATTGTAATTATTAAATAATTTATAGCAAGCTAAAGATTCCTGTCTGTACAGTTTAATATTGAACATGTCTTTTGCATTATTGTAAATGGCAAGTGACAATGAATGATAGAAAAGGACACAGTTTGTTTAGCTTGCGCATATTTACAGAAATATGTTTACGAACATTTTATAAACTGAGCAGTGCTCATTTCTTGGTATGGCTGCTGGTGATTATTTCCTGGGGGTATATTGGGTTGTGAACTACACCTGGTGCTGGTACTACTATGAAAGAGTGCTCACTAAATTGACCCTGACAGCTGCTATGCAGTAGCCTGATTTGCTAATACTTTTAAGGTTGAACATTTCTTTTTTCTACATTTTAAATAGCCTAATACATTAATTTCTGAAGTAATTTTAGAAGGTACTTGAGGTAATTTTCAATGGTTTATATTGCGAGCACAATTTTGCGAGCAACCAGAATAACTGGAAAACTGACAAAGTAGTGAACAATTTAGTACAAAAAAAAAAAACAATTTTCAAACGAGTAAAACACTTACATAGTTTTATTGCAGCCTAGCATGCTTAATACAATTTTTTACATTATTACAGTTTTCCATTTGTTTTGTTAATTCTTAATCAAAGTACTAACGGTTCCAAAGTTTTTTTTAAACATTATAATGACTTACCTTCCAGCAGTCCCGGGATGTGGGATCTCCTATGCATTGTGAGTGTCTGTAGACCTACAAACTCCTCATTGCACTCCTCACAAGTGTATCTCTTCTTGCGCTTGGTCTGACCAGCATGAGCCCGCAGGTGCTCTCTTAGATTGTCTTTGCGATTAAACACCCGACCACACACCTGTAATGTACCTAGGTTATATTCAAAAGGAGCAAAACCCTTTCAATAATCCAGCACTTGATAGTTCAATACACTTGTAATCGGACACTGCGATGAACGAGACATCGGCCCATGTCTGTACAATTCTGGACTTTGATTCATGTTGTGACATGTCTTCAGTAGTAATGTCTAGTTCAATCACTTATGCGTCAAGTTCAACTTAAAATGAATAGTTGTTATTTTTTGATAGAATAAAAGCTAAATAAGGTTTGTTTTGCTTAAGGAAAGGCTCTAGGCCAGGTTTTAAATGGTAGAAGGAGGATAGCAGCTAGCTTACCTTGAAAGTGTGGGTAGGCCATAGAACAAGTAGAAAAATATTTTGCACACAATATTTCGTCCCCTAAGGGACTTTGTCAAGTGTAGAGAGAGTTTATAAATTACAAGATGGCTGCTGTCATGGCTGATGGCTGTTGTAAACTATGCAGGGTTGCCACATCTCATTCCAGTATATAACCAACTCCAGAACTCCCCCAAACCTTAACCTAAGATAAACCTGCCCAAGCAGCTAGCTAAATACATAATAGGCCTAGTTTGTATATAAAATATTATATGTGTGTGTGTATATATATAAAGTTGTGTACATAGTTGTAAATGAGATGTGGCAACCCTGCATAGTTGACAACAGCCATCAGCCATGACAGCAGCCATCTTGTAATTTATAAACTCTCTCTACACTTGACAAAGTCCCTTAGGGGACGAAATATTGTGTGCAAAATATTTTTCTACTTGTTCTATGGCCTACCCACACTTTCAAGGTAAGCTAGCTGCTAAATAAGGTTTGTTTACTATGAAAATTGCCTGATTTGTAAAAAAAGCCTAAACTGATTAGTTTGAATGCCCAATAGTTCAGGTGTACATTATAAAGCTTCAAAGGTTTATTTTTATCAGCTTATAGATTACATTTTACATTATTATTTGTAACACAACATTTTCTGTTAATCTGGCACCCGCCCAGTTTCTAAAGAGTTGAATTATCAAGAATCAACTGTAATTGAAAACTTATCCTTGGCATACACAACAGTCAGTGAGCCACTAAAATAATAATTAGATTAAATGAGTGAAATAATATACCAAACGAGATATGTAACTCCAAACTATGTTTAACTGGCTAACACTATTTAGCTTTACTTTGGTTTACATAGCTTACCTGACAAGGGAAGGTGGGCCTCTTAGACCCGTCACAGCCAGTCTGGTAATTATGCCTGATGAGATGGTATTTCCTGCTAAACATAGTGTTGCAAACAGGACAAGAGACTGGCTTCAAACCTATGTGGCAAAACATTTTAAGCTTTAGAAGAGGTTTTTTACTAACATTAATAGCCAAAAATGTTGTATAATATTCTGTATAGTAAAGTTCATTCCACGTTTTCCTGAAATATATAAAGCTTACATACATCACATATTCCAAATGGCTGCCACAGTGATACTAGTTGTCCTCTAAACATCAGGAGCCGCTTTATGCCAGTTGAAGGGACAGAGTTGTCATCACATTATTGCGGGATTGTCAGAGGCCAGTCAAGCTGAACAAGAACCTGTTTACACATTGCTGAGTGCCCCACGTCTGTCTTGTCTCACGAGTACTTAAAAATGTTAAATTATGTGCAGGGAATTGATCAGTGAGTTTTGCAACGTGCTACAAGAAGAGTTAGATAAGAAGAGAGAGTGATCAAGGAGCTTTAAAAGGAACAGTCACAGAGCATCATCGATTTACCATCTCCTGGCAACAAGGGAGACTCTGCTTTCCTTTTTTCTTACTTTTTTTACTATACAAATGTTGATTTCAAATCAATGAGTCATAACCCAAACCTATAGGCCTAAATAACATAAGATTTAAAAAATCATTAGAATGTACTTATACCCCAACACAAGGGTTCACAGATTGCAAATATCATATTTCTAATAATTAATAGTGAACGACTATCTCCCATAAGATCTGTACTGCACAGTGAATGTGGAATCAAGTGGAGTATGCCTACACGTAGAATGCTGGAGGTATTAGGACTTACCAGTATGAGTGTACATGTGACGAGCAAGTGTGCCCTTGTCAGGACATCTAGCATCACATTCTGGACACTTGTAGGAGTCACCCTCGTTATGAATCACTCTTCGATGTCTTTCCAGTGACGATTTAAGTCTGAACAGTTTCTGGCATTCTGTACATTCAAACTCTCCTCCCTAGAACATAGATGATGAAAAGTAGGTTGAATCAATGAATACACAAGATAATTTCCCAAATTTATGGACACTATATATATCCTCATCATAAACTGCATAAAACCCTGGCTTTATAAAATAAAATGTGATTTACTTAATAGGGATATTGCACTGCCAGTTTTTACTAGAATAAGGACCGTTGTGGTAAGTCCCTGAGAAGTAGAGCTTACGAGAAGGAAAAAAAAGTTAATTAAGAGGGCTTTTAAGTTACTGTAGCCTTACTGGTACAAAAGTAACTTATGAGTTATGACCATTGAAATTGTCAATAAATACATGAAATACTATGAAATTTATCACTGAAAATGCATTTGCCAAAACAAAGAACATGAAATTTTAGTTCTTATCATTTGGTAACTAAAATATTGTAACAATGACGAATCACCTGTCTGAATATGATGTTATATGATTATTGTAAAATAAATAAGTATAGGCCTAATTCAGTTTTTAAAATCTTTGAACAACTAAATCCAGAGTTGGACCGATTTTATTATTTATGGTTCGTTGGAAAGCTTAATTTGTGTTGTGATATGATTGATAATAACTATAAAAATACACTAAAAGGAGGGAAAATATGATATACTTGCCTCATAAATAGCAAATAATCAAAGTCAGAAAATAAAATTATGGCTGTTCTAATGACTATATCGAAGAATATACAAATGAACTAATGAAAATTGTTTTCCATGAGAAATACATCAAATAGTTTTATTTGGATGCAACTTTTGGCTGCCTTTATTAGGTATTTTCAAGGAATAGGCCTACATTGCAGTTATTTGTAGGAAATTTTATTCTCTTTCAGAATATCACGTCCACTTTGGTCGATTTCACCACCATTTAAGTTATTGGCAAATAACCCAAGCGACCTCCAAATTTATATTTGTTAGAAAATACTGAATTAGAGATATTTTTGTTGAATTTTGTACAACTAAATCTAGACTTCTACTGGACCGATTTTCTAATCGGTCAATTGAAAGCGCTTCATCCATGTAGATTTGCAAAGAATTATAAAGTTAGATTTTTTTATTTTTATTTATTGCATTAATTGGTTTGCCAGTAGGCCTATGCATCATCTAATAATATGAAACGTGTGTTAATAATTTAACAGCCGATTGTTATATTGTTATTTAATTGTCTTTTCTTTTTTTACACGTTGTTGTTCACAATTGGCATTTGTGGTTAAAGTGTGTTCCTAAAGTTATGTGATTAATCTGTACCAACAATTATGAGTGAGTAAACTGGTGTATGCAAATTTCAAAACCACTAGAGACCAATGTATTTAACCACAACGGGCTCTGTTGCTAATAAAATAATAAAACCCATTTTCAAATACCCTTTCTAGTATTGTGGTTAATATCATAAGAGAACGTGTTAAGATCTTATAATTTGTAACCTGACTGGTTGGATTGAAGAGTTTATGTAAAATCCAAGTGAGGCTATTTATTTGTGAATGATACAGCAATTACTTAATTTACTAACCATGTGAGCTGTTTCAATATCTTCTCCACAACAATGGCACCTTCCCTCTTCAAAAGCGTAAGGGTCTTTCACATCAACTGCCTCTATGGCGACCTGATCTCCTGTAACGTTCAATAACTATGATTAATGATCCTTTGTAAAGCAATATACATTACAATAGGGAATACATTACAATTTGCAATGGAATACATTACAATTTGCAATAGATCATTAAATAAAACCCCTTTTCACACACATCTTACTAAACCAAAACTTGAGTTAACCAACACCAAGTAAAAACATTCAAATCAATTGGAAAGTTGGCTAGGCAATGAGTTGTGTCTGCCAGCGTGGGTTCATTGAAACTTAGTATAAAACAATGTTGATTATTTTGATGAATCGATTTTGTGTAAAGAAATGTACTTTTATAGTGATCTCTTTATATAAAAATAGCCTTTATTCCTATATTGATTGACCAAAAAATAGGTTATTCAAATAGACTTGTTTTTATTTAAATTAATTAGGGTTTTATTATACAGTACAAATTAAACCTTATAACCACAATAGTTTTATTTTATACTTTTATATTTTGAAAGCTTTAACAATTAAATCAATGCAACTGAAAAATGTATTTTTACATCCTTAACGAAAGCAGGGGTTCCAGTATCCCATCAAAATAAAATTCAAGGTTTTCCAGGATCAAAATTAAAAATTTCCAGGACAAAACTTGTAACTCAAGAGAAAGCAAAGACCTGACCTTATGATCGGCCTAAAAACTCTAGTACATTAAAAACCATTCAAAAGAACCAAACATTACTCAGATTCAAGAAGAAATGTATGCCATAAAATATTTTAAACCTACAAAGTTGTGATTCATTACTATAATACCAATCAGTTAAAAATCTTAAACGTAGCAAACTTGCATCGTTACTTTCTGTAAATAGATACAGTACCGGGGAAAAAAAATAAAAAATGAGCACTATCAAGTACCTTCAAGGGTTCCTTCTAGTATCTGATTGATGTTTAGCTGTTTGTTGTAGATAGGCACATTGGGAGTGTAGCCGTCAGAGTCATCAGCTAGCTGCTTGCCTTTGCGAGGGTTCATCTTGCGACAACTAGACTCGTGACGTTGCAGCCCCTGAGTCAACAGCAATAATTACTTTGTTACCTCACCAGCCTCATATATTTATTCTTTTTTATCAGCTCATGACAAGGTACTCTTGATATTCCTTTTGATTTTCGAGCCCAAACTTTGTTAGAATTAACACTTCTCTTAGAACGTTGACAAAAAATGCCAGACAAGTATAGGTTGTCAATCACTTAGGTATGAAAATTCATAGACTTGTTATTAGTGTAGAGATAAGTTGTGAACAGCTTTTTAGAATAAAAAACAATAATTGACATACAAACGAAAAACCAAGAGTGCCTGGGGAGTATAAATACCTACAGACGGAATTTGTATTTGAGTAATTCAAATTTGTTTTCCTTTTGGGCACAAAAAAGCAATGTTAGTATCAAATTATCGGGTTTGGTTTCAACACAACCATCCACACAATTATTTTTTTAAGATAAATTTACTCGTATAATTCTTGCTTTACATTTTAAAAACATCATTATTAATTGATTGGTTATTAAAAGGGCTTACAGGTAAACTTTTAGATAGCTTAACTTACAGGCAGAGTGTTAAATTCTCTAGGGCATGTTTCACATTTGAATTTTACAATTTCTTGACGTAACTGTTCAGACTTAGGCGGGCGTCCTCTCCTTCGTTTAACTGGAACTGCAAAAATGAAACATAAAATAGCAATCCTTGTAATTATAAATTAGTAATGACACTTAAGTATTTTATTTAGGCTCTCTATGGGAAGGTTAAAAGAATTTTAGTAAATTAAAACATAATTAACACAACTGAATTTATTGAACTCACAAATCAGACTAAACTAAAAAGTAAACAAAACATAATAATGTAAACAGTCATCTGACAGATGTTATAAATAAAACATATGGACTTATTTCTTGATACATAACACTCCTCCCCCCGTTAGGTAGTCCTTCAGATATGCCGGTGGTCGACGGATACGAACAGGTCGAGGACTCATGCTCATTGAAGTGTTTTGGGAGTTTGATCTAGAGACACGTGACCGAACAGGTTGTGGACTCGTGCTCATGCTAGTGGAGTCTTGAATTAAACCAGAAACGTTGAAACCAGCATCTTCTTGATGAGGGTTAATTGAACCTTCTATAACACTAAAGGAATTGCGAGATTGTTGCATCACTGATGGTCGCATTGGTTGTACGTCTGGTGTTCTCATCATAATAGAATTGCGAACCATTGATGGTGGTTGCACTGGAGTGATATGATGTGCTTCTGGTGTTCTCATTTGAATAGGATTCTGGAGTAGTGGGTGGAATGGTGGGTTTACTGGAGATTCAGGATTATCCTATTGTGAGTTAGTAGATGCTTTTGATGTTTCTGAGCGAGGTCTCAATTGGTCAATATGACGTCGTATTTCAATGCCTTCTTTTGTTATCAAATGGTAGCTCAGTGGCCCGGTTATTCTAGTGACTTTAGCAGGAATCCACTTTGGTCCTCGCTGATTATAGTTTCTTGCAAATACGGAGTCATTTTCTTTCAATTTCCTCTGAGGTGACAGTTGGTAATCATGAAGCGCTTTATCCAAGATTTTCTCTTCTTTGTCACTTGAAGAATAATCTGGGTGAACTCTGTCTAAGATGGTTCTAATACGCCTTCCGAACAGCAGTTCACTCGGTGACATATTAGTAGAACAATTTGGCGTTATATGAGATGATATTAGGAACTGAGCCAATCTTTTTTGCCAATCTCCTTGAAGTATTCGTCGCAAAGAATTTTTTGTCGTTTGGACCATCCTTTCTGCCTGACCATTCGATGACGGATGGTATGGTGCAACCACGACGTGGCGGATGCCATTGCTTTCATTAAACGATCGAAATTCTTGTGAAGTGAAAGCCGACCCGTTATCAGATACTATTGTGTCTGGAACACCATGTGTTGCGAAAAGGCTTCTGAGGACCTTTATAGTTGATCTTGAATCTGTAGAAGGCACCAAAACTACTTCTAACCATTTGCTGAAAGAATCGACAACAATCAAAAACAACTTGTTTTGGAAGGGCCCAGCGAAATCTATGTGGAGACGAGACCAGGGTTGTTTCGTTTTCTCCCAGGGAAGAACTGTTGCTCTTGGAGGGTTGTGACGACTTTGTTGACATGCTTGACAAGAACTCACTATGTTTTCTATGTCTTGATCAAGTTTTGGCCACCAGAAATAGCTTTGAGCCAACGCCTTTGTTCGAACAATGCCCTCATGTCCCATGTGTAGAAGCTTCAGAGCTTGTTGCCTGAGAGTGGATGGAATGATCACCCTAGTTCCCCAAAGTAAACATTGTTTGTATTGAGAAATTGAATTTTGACGAGAAATGAAAGGCGTAAGGTTGAGATCTGAGTTATGAGTTGGCCAACCACGTTGAGTCCATAATAGTACTTTAGATAGAAGTGGATCCTTTTCTGTTTCTTTTGCTATTATATTAGCGGTGATTGGTTTAACCTCATCGGATTCAATGTATAGCACGTCATTCAAGACTTCATTTATCTCTTGATCAACAACATTGGAGGAACATGGAAGACGACTCAAACCATCAGCATTCGGAATAGAAATTCCCGGTTTGTATACAAGATCAAAGTCATATCCATTTAAAAGGATACTCCAGCGAATCATTCGAGGTGACAGTGTGTTTGGTGTTTGTTTATCCACAGTGAAAAGACCCAGAAGTGGCTTATGATCTGTTCTAATTTCAAAATGCCTCCCATATAAGTAATTGTGGAATTTTTTAACCCCTCCAATGATGGAAAGTGCTTCCCTATCTACTTGAGCATATCTTCGTTCTGACTGACTCATTGTCCTGGAATAAAACGCAATTGGAACTTCCTTTTCCCCTCGAACCTGACTAAGCACACAACCAATACCATAAGGAGATGCATCACAAGTTAGTATAAGATGGCTGGAGGGATTGTAATGAGCCAGTATACTATCGGAAGAAAGGAGCTTCTTTGAAGCATTGAAAGCAAGTTTATGTTTTTCCTCCCACCGCCATTTAACATTTTTGTCCAATAAGCGATGTAAAGGTTCTGCAACATTGGCTTTGTTGGGTAAAAAACAGTGATAGAAATTAAGTAAACCTAAAAATGCCTGCAGTTGTTCCTTGTTAGTCGGCTCAGGAGCATCTTGAATGGATTTGACTTTGTCCGGGTTAGGACGAATTCCGTCAGAGCTCACAACAAATCCCAAGAAGTCAACTGATGTAGATAACAAAGAACACTTTTCGCTTTGGAGTGTAATCCCTGCATCTCTAAAACGAGTGAATACTTGTCTTAATGTGGTAATCAATTCGTGTATTGTTCCTGCTTTAACCAAAATATCATCAAAGTAAGGGATTACATTGTCCAAGCCCGAAAGCAAACCCTCAATAAAATGTTGAAATATAGATGGAGCTGAGCTAATACCGAATTGTAGTCTTTTTGGTTTAAAAGCACCCTTGTGTGTAATTAGTGTCTGAGCTAGTGCCGACTTCTCGTCAACAACCAGTTGTTGATAAGCTTGGGCTAAATCTAACTTAGCAAAATATTTCCCTTGGTTTAAGTTTGCTAAGAGCTGAGAGATTGGTGGAATAGGGTACAGATGATCTTGGATAGCTTTGTTTAACGTTGCCTTATAATCACCGCAAATTCATATTTTACCATTGCTTTTTACGGAAACAACAATTGGTGTGGCCCAATCCGATACCTGAACAGGTTCTAACACTCCCTGATTAACTAACTTATTCAGCTCTTCTTCTACTGGGGCCTGCAATGCATAAGGTAAAGGGCGCGCTCTTAAGTGAATTGGGTTATAATTCTGGTCAATTTTCAGTTCGATCGGAGGTCCTTTATAGCACCCTAAAGAATTTGAAAATACATCGGAAAATTCACTTTTCAGATGTTGAACATCCAGCTGAGCTTTATTAAGAACTTCAGATTCATGACAGTTGATTGAAAGTACTCCGTTTACTTCAATGTTAAGACTTTTTAGCCAATTACGCCCCAATAAACTATTTCTATTACCTTCAGTTATGACTAACGGAAGGAAACCATTGAACTTACCGTATTTCACATAAACATTAGTCTGACCTAAAACACTTACAGGTTTACCACTGTAATCCTTGAGTTTCCAAGGAGAAGGTTGTAGTTTACAGTTTTTATGAGAAATTGTATTCCATAGTTCTCCTCCTATGATAGAAACACCTGCACCAGTATCAACTTGCATTAGAACTTTGTGATTATTTATGTTGACAGTGGTATACAGTTCCGGTACTTTAGTGCAGTTAACTTCCTGGACGTATTGAGTTGTTTCGTTATTTGATTGAGGTGGAAACGTTTCTTCTTGTTCATAATTGGTTTCCTCTGACAAAACTTCATGAGCCCGCTGTCCCTTTGATCCGTGTTTTTGGCTAAAATATTCTTTGGGGCGTGGTTTCCCTCCTTTACAAACTCGTGCTAGATGCCCAATTTTCTTGCAAATATTACAAGTAGTCTGAAGATGGGGACAATCCCTTCTAAAATGTCTTAGTCCACAACCAAGACAAACATTAGGTGTAACAGAGTGAGCTGGATTGTTGTTAAATGCAACAAATTTCCTGTTTGAATGGTCAATTTTATGTGCATTAGCAAAACTTGAGCTACTGAAAGAAAGTTCCTTACTTTGAGTTTGAAATAATTCATTTGACTTAGCTGCAATAACAACATCCTGAAGTTTAATAGTAGGTTCTTTCAAAATTTTATTCCTTAACTCATCACTTCTAGATCCAATCAAAATTTGCATAATTAATTCCCTATCCAAGTCTTTGAATTCACAGTTCACAGCTAATGTTCTTAGTCGAGAATAGAAAGAGTTAAACGACTCTGATTCTGCTTGATGACACTTCCTAAAATTAAATATTTCAAAAAGGACATTTTTGGTAGGAGCGAAATAGTCAGTTAATAGTTTTATAACATTTTTGTACGTTATTTCATTAGGTTGTGGTAAACTGTCAAAAATGTAAGCCACTTCCTCACCAGCTAGATTAAGTACTAGTGCAGTTTTCCTTACATCACTGGTAATGTCTGCAGCTAAAGCATACCTCTCAAATTGCTTAATCCATGTACCCCAACGCTGTGTGACACTTGCAGGATTTGTATGGGGGTCAAAACGATCAGGCTTATTGAGATCAATTATCCAATTATCCTCGTCGCCAGTTTAGTAAATTAAAACATAATTAACACAACTGAATTTATTGAACTCACAAATCAGACTAAACTAAAAAGTAAACAAAACATAATAATGTAAACAGTCATCTGACAGATGTTATAAATAAAACATATGGACTTATTTCTTGATACATAACAAGAATCACACCAAAATAATCTATTAAAAAACTTTTAAATTTTGCTCTATCAAAAAAGAGAGCCAGAGAATAGCTCAAACTAACTGAAAGACACAGTAATGCTTAAACATGTTGAATGTGTAAAATCCATAGGTATGTGTTCAGTAAAAGGCCAGCTGACCATATGAGCATAATCTCCACATGTCAACAACAATACAATAATAAAAATTTCAAAATGTAAACATTCCAAGGTAAACATTCTGGTTCAAAAAGTGCAATTTTTCTCTCTTGTAATATTGTTTCTTTGTGTAACATAATTAATTTCTCTCTCCTTTTAATTTGACTTTTCATTTACCTTTTCCTTTTGTGTTCATTAAATAAACCTTTTTTAATTTGACTAAATTCTGTGTACCGTGAGAACATTTGGACATTCATGAAACATATCTTCTCAACTAGAGACAACATTCGACCAGATCTTCTTTCAAGACCTTAATAACGTCAAAGTGGTAACATAACTATAGTTCAGTATTAAAAATTAAACCAAAAGTCCATTATTTTCTGTTGTCAAAATTAAATTAATAACCCATATACAGTCCACTTTATTATTTCTACAATAACCTTTTGATTACGCTACATCTTTGGTCCTTCGAGCCGGATTGTTGATTAACCAATTGATTGGATTAATTATTTGGACTTTTGGTGAAGATTAAAGACGAACATAACCTCATAAACTCTCAATATTGTCGTTCACGCATATTTTGTACTCCCCCTCTACCTCTATCCCTCTCACTCTCTCGATCACATTAGCCTAATAGGCCTACTCCAATGACTGAAAGACTCTGTGACATTATAGTCATTTTGTAAACATTGTACCAATCCTTCAGTGTTTATATTTTTTGTTGATTGGTTCCGAGTTAAGGCCCACAAACTGTTTAATTGAACTAGCCTAATTCATTTTGTTTTATGTTACGAAGTGAAATAACTTTTGTGTCTTGTGTATTTTGACTGTATTTGTGTTCAATGATGGCTCCTGTGAACCTAGCCCCGATTAAGGTTTGTACTTATAAAAGACTAACCAAACAATTCAAAGTTAGGCTTGGAAAAATTCAAGAAAATATAGATTCTATTAATGAAAGTGCGAAAGCAAACAACCTATCCTCTGTGCAAATATAATCACTTCATAACTATTTAGATGAAATCAGGAAAAAGCAAGACGACTTTGAACTAAATTTCAGGCGCGTTTTAGAACATTGTTCTGACGAAGAACTCGATGGCATTATTCTAAATGATGATGAAAATACTATTGGTGAATTATGTATACATCTTTGTAGTACTATAGAGTCACTAATCCCTATTGACGAACCTCAATCTCCCCCTCAAGAAATGGTGAATGATTCCAACTGTAATGCTTTCATGCAACCTGTCCGCCTACCGCAACTTGACTTGAAAACCTTCTCGGGAAACTCAGCCGAGTGGATTAATTTCATAAATCTTTTTGATAGCGCTGTACACCTCAACACATCTCTGTCTCCAGTATCAAAATTTCAATACCTACTAAGCTGTCTAACTGGTTGGGAAGTGATTGTGTTATCAAGCACCCTCACATGTGCCGAGCCAGTATGTCCAAGAAGCACTGCCTTCCTACTCTCTCAATCTAAGGCAAAACGTGCGCATCCCAACTGGGTACTCCCTGATCCGACTCTTCTTTCAGGACACTCCTTCCAAAGGATCAGGGTGCCAAACTGGCAGGCTTCTTTTCTATTTCTTTAATTTCTCGCTATTTTATTACTACTCTCTCACTGTCGAGTCCTCTGATTCAAAATCTGCCTCTAACTATTCTTTTCTCAACTTTATCTTCATTTCCCTATCTAATCATCCCAAGTCAAGGTGGAACAGCATACGCCGAGGACTGCATGGTCAAGGGGGAGCTTGGCCACAAGTATGCGGACTCTGGATACCAGGCGACCTCCAGTTTTAAGCAGCCTTCTCCGGGTAAGCGGGGCTCTGCCCGGGGTGACCCACATTTCCCTAGCTACTCGTGGGACCAACATGGAGAATAATTTAAACCGGGAAACCAACAAAAAAGAAGAAGTAAGTATGGAGGTAGAGGAGGGGACAACTCCCCAACGGATGGAGACATCTGAGGCGGCCACAGGGTCCCAAGATGTCATCCCCCGAGAACCTAGCACTCCCGCCCAGGAGGTGCCCGCACCTCAGGGAGGGGATGCAATGACACTATCGGAGGAGGAAGGCCTCCTCAATGAAGACGACTCCGAAACTGTCAAGGAGTTAGAGGTAGAAGCTGGAAAGCTCAAGCTTA